TAAAGATGCTTTGCACATGAGAAGGGGGTGTGGGGCAATGGGGGTTGGGTAGGGTCAGCAGCCCACGTTTTCCAAGAGCCAGCTCAGTGCCAGGCATGCAGTTTATGCCCACCGTCCATGTGGGTCGCTGCCATCAGCTTAGGAAGCCAGCACCACTGCCCACTTACTGCTAAGGATGTGATGGCCATGAGGGCAGGACGGTCCACAGCAACACCAGACCTGACCCCAGCCTGGTTGGCTCCAATGCCTGTTCTCCCAGCCCACTTCCTCCCTGCTGGGTACCATCCAGGGGGCCCCTGGGCACCACCACACCTCACCTATCCCTCCGTCTTCATCGCACTTTCCTGTCTCCTTCTTGCCCCTTCCTCTTCTCTGGTGCAGTCCTAGCCTCGTTAGCTGCCTCAGTGGAGGCATTCTTTCAGGCCTGGCCTATCTGCCCTCCAGGGACAGCCACTGGGCACCCCCCAGGCCATAAGTCACCTAACCCTGTGTCTCTTCCACAGCAATTCATGGAGATTGAGCCTGAGATGCTGGCCATGGAGACCATTGTTCCTGTGTACTTCGCTGTGGAAGACGAGGCCCTGCTCTCCATCTATGAGCAGACGCAGGCTGCCTCTGCCTCCCAGGGCTCTGCCTCTGCTGCCGAAGGTGTGGGGGGCTGCAGGAGCCGAGCGGGTTCATGGGGAGCCTTCCCTGTTGAGGTCCAGGGTCACACTGTGCCACTTCTGAAACCCTTAGCACATTCATGCTTAACAGTGCAAGTTACCAGGCCCTGCCCCAGACCTGCTGTGTCACAGTCTCAGGGCTGGGGGCCAGGACTCTGCATTTAATAGCCCCCACCTTATCTCACCACTGATTTTCAGACAAACAAAAGCTTTGAGAACTACTAATTTGGAGAGAGGTGTTTTCTGTCTTCAGCCTCCAGATGTTTATGGAAAACATGGCATCTATTCAGTTTTCTCTGTCCTTCCTGCTGAACACATCAGGGTGGGTCAGCAACGTTCTTGGGAGGAGGAGAAAACCTTCCTCCTAAGCCATGGACTGGGGATGCTGTGGTGAGCTGGGAGCGGGAGTGGTGAGCTGGGAGCGGGAGTGGTGAGCTTGGGGATGCTGTGGTGAGCGGGGAGCGGGAGTGGTGAGCTGGGAGCGGAGTGGTTCACCGTTGGGAGTGAGATAGCAAAATTAGTCAAAGAAATGCAGCTGAAAGGAACCACCTGACCCTCTGTTCTCACCTATCAAAACGGCAGGTGTAACAGGAGAAAAATATTCAGAACTGACAGGAGTGGGCAAGGCAGGAGGGCTTGTCCACCCTGGGAGACTTGGCCCAGTTCCCTGGGGAAGCAGTCTGGCAGTATGTGTTTAAGCTGTAGACAAAGGTTTGATCCTCCTGGCCAGATGATTAGCTGCATGAGATGCTAGATTGGGGATTGACAAACCACAGCTTTTAGCTGTCTGTCTGTGTAAAGAAAGTTTTATTGCCGCTCTGCTGTGTCCATTTGTTTATGTATTGTCTATGGTGGCTTTCACGGCAGCACAGTTGAATGGCTGTGGCAGAGCAGAGCAGAAAATACTGCCTCTCTGGCTTTATAGAAAAAGGTTGTCAACCCCTGGTTTAGATCAAAGTCTTGATAGCATCTGTCTGCATTGTGGCAGCAGAAGAGTGAATTTTGGAAAGACCTAAATTTCCAGTTAGAGCTGAAGAGGGGAGGAATCTTCTACTTAGTGGAATATTATGCAGCCATTAAAAATGACATCAGGATAGAATTTTAGCAGCATGGAAAAATGCTTATTTAAATTGGCAAGTGGCAAACATCCACATTGAGCAAAGATGGCGCTGCCTTGTGTCTGGTCATGAGCAAGTGAGTTCCAAATCTTCAGGAGCTTAGGCTATTAGGGCCTTTGGGGATGGGCTGGTGGGTCATGGGCCATCTGATAGGAGACTCCTGTTTCTGGGTCACCTCTAGGGTGACCATGGGTGCTGAGTCGGTCCTTGGAAGGCTGGGTCAGGGGACGTGAACGTGCCTCTGTGAATTTGGAATAGAGGCCCAGGGTATTGCAGAGTGAGGGCACTCTGCCTGCTTGGGGTTGGGGTGACTGTTTCACCAGCTCTTATCCTGGACACCCAGGCTCTTTTCCATGTACAGTCATCGCCTTGCATTCTAGTTCGTGTGGTCAGTTCTGCATGCAGCTTTGCATAGACTGACCATCTAGGGTCCAGGGTGTGGGGGTGGTGAGGGTGCTGGCTGTGGTCGGGGAACCCTTGGATTGACCCCTCACTGCTCCTGTCCCCAGTGCTGCTCCACACTGCCACTGCCAATGGCTTCCAGATGGTCACCAGCGGGGTCCAGAGCAAGGCCTTGAGTGACTGGCTCATCACCAGTGTGGAGGTGAGTGCCAGCCCTGTTCCTGTGCCGAGCCCCTGGGATGGGGGGTGCTGAGACCACTGTCTCATCCTCAGAGCCCGCCCTGGTGCCTGCTGCCCAGTTAGGCCCATTGCAGCTGAGCATACTGGTCTCCCCGCCCTCTGCTTGGGCCAGGCACTGCCTTCTGTATTAATGGGGCTTCTGTAGGCCCAAATTCCCAGGGACTTACACCAGATGGTGCCACGCTGCTTGGCACTGCCCCCATGTCAGTGTGCAGACTCTGGTAAAAGTTGGGGTGCAGCCACTCCTCTGCCTCCCGGACTAAGTGAGTCTGCCTTAGA